CACCAATTTACCAGCTCGCGCGTGCAAGGATGATGAAACGCATCTCACTATCCACAGCCTTCTGAAACAAGCTTTTTGGTGAAAGTCAAGCTGGGACATTTCGAATAATCCTCGAGTTAGTCAAATGGAGAGCACCATTTGCCCTTGCGACTCTTCGTTCAATAACCCTCATCCAGCCTCATTCTTCAGCTGGATCGCTGCGGTCAATCCCTCTGGTGATTGCCTACCCATTGTTCCATGTATAAACACAGTAAAATAAACCCAGATAATTTATTACCAGCTTCAGATAGTTCTGCGATTGAGGACCCGGCTTACTAGTGGGAAGGTCCGTTGTTCGAACCCAACCTTCATCTCGACTCCTGTCGTCTGTGCTTAGGCAACCTTGCAGTATCCCATCCCTCATGCTAACTTTGGGTGGCACGGAATCTAGATACCGAAGGGGTGTTACAGATGGACGATTATTATATTTTCATCATTAATCCCTTATTAAACTCAAAAGGTCTAATCGACGTTGCAGCCCTCACTATCCGTGATGTACATCGGGTGGGCGTCTCTTTACTAAACTATTTTCCCTTTCTGTCGACGTATCTTATGTTTTTCGAACACGCACACAGTCGGCTCCCTGGTCTGCATCTCAAGTACTCGGGTATTTCACTCTTCGCAGGTTCTGATGCAAGGGATGTTAGAATCTGTGATCCGGTAGGCGCGCCTGTGCTGCCTTTGGACTGAAGGCTTCTTACCAGACTGGATTCCACTAAAGGGTTGTTGTTGCGCTTTATGATTGTCTGATTCAGTTAAGGTCATTGCAAATCGATGCAGTAAACTTGTCAGGTGAGCGTTTGCCTCGACATACTTCAGTTCTGAAGATGAAAAATGTCCTATTGAGACCTGTCAGCTGTTTCGATTTGCGAGAATATTGGATATAGTCATCCTAGCAGGTGATGCGAATGTCCAAGTTGGACGACCGTGCTCGGATAATCCTTATCTTGGTGTTGGGTTCGGAAAAAAATATTCGACATGCGGATAATGGAGAGCGACTTTCTCAGTTGTTTGCTGAACGTGTGTTTCCGAACAGTACGAGCTTTCATGGCAAGTGCGCTGTTTAGAGGTCAGCTGCTCCCAATAACCGAATATCACGTCAATCGGACGGCGGACCACGGACTAAATGAAGGCATGCCCTGATTGGTCAGAACGTCAGCCAGTTTAGACCTAGCATCTATAGCTCGAAGCTTCTGGTGCGACCTTGTGGAACATTCTGTGATGGTCCTACAAATACGATTGTAATACCTCCATTTGTCTCCATAAAGAGCTGTCTGAAGCTACCGTGCCTTTGATATACCATAGTGGGTAGAGCAGCAAGCCAAGGACCGATGCAAAGACACACTGACTTACTTGGCGGCTACCAACCAAGTATGAGTTGGATCAGTTGATAGTCGTCTATCGATGGAGAGACTGTTAAAGATTCCCGCTCCTTCTAGGGTGCGCAAACTGACTCTCTCAGGGTTACGAGTGTCGAAGCAGAGCTATCCCCTTAATCATTAGCTTAATCACATCGAATTGATTTGCCTAGAATTCTACTAAAATGTACATTCATGCTGACCAAGGTTGGTTGTGGGATGACTAAGCGAGCATGAAGAAGCCTACACTGTCAGCTTCTAGAATCGTCATACAAGACCAAATAAACATTGTTTGTCACCGGGATCAGTTGTATCACTAATGCCAGTAACTGGTGACCACTTTGGCACAAGCGGACCCCTGAAACACTGGATAAATGAGTCTGAAAGTGACTGGGGACGCCGGTGGGTTTCAAAGGTTCAGGAGATGGAGAAGGATTTTGCTTAATGAAAAAAGACGTAGCTTGTTTCATTTGATTTGACCAGCTTTTAGAAGACTAACACTGACAAAGTGTTTTTCGAAATGGATGGAAGAGCAGTTCATTCTCCGAATACTCATCTCGAATGATGGGTTGAATGCTTCAAAGAACAATCTTTGGAAGAACCCGGTGTACATGAGTGGGACGTCGATACCATCTTACTATTAGCGACAAACGCCCAGCGCGAGATATCAGTCCTCCGACGCTACAGGGCACCCCATCCAATTGATCTGCATCCTGCACTTTTCAAAGACGGTGGTGAAGCTCTGGCCAGCAGTATGATGACCCTACTACAGAAGATTAAAGACGAAAACAATCACGGCGGAGTGAAGCGTTTCCACGGTGACTCCAATCTTCAAAGTTCGCTGATTGTCCTGGCCATCCACTGGACAGCTAGTGTGTGGTTCTTAGAATTTACCTTTTCTTGGAGAAAAACGGCATTAGTGCTTCCATAACTATGGGTAAATTACCTTCCTACGCTCACTGGGGCGAGATGGCTCAGTGGTTTTGAGCGCGAATTTACTCACCGGGAGGTTCGTGGTTCGAACCCGACCTCTGCCCACTACCAAGTTCGGGCAACCTGGTATCCCAGCCCTCGTGTTTCCTTTTGGTGACATGGCAGGTAGGCACCGAAAGGGTGTTACATTTGAACGAGATTGATTATGGCCTCCAAATGAGTGGCATATGGTGGCCAAGATAGCTGTTATCCAAGATAGTTGCTCCATTCTTATCCTTGGTGGTTTCGCTCAGAGGCTGTTTCTGGGGTCCAGTAGCAAGGATCAATTGAAACAACCTTCCGGCATTCGCGGTTTTCTGGGTCTCTTCCATCTCTTTGGCTCTTTATGTCCAGCGGACTTCATAGCCGGCTTACACGCTTACCTTCACCTTACGTCTGATAATTCATCGGTGGCGATTTCGTTCCAGTATGAGTTCACTTTTTATGGTGGAACAGTTGGAGTAGAATTAAGAACACTATTCTGGCGAATTCGTCTAACATCCGGATCCATGCAGTTTGTCCGCACCTTACGCGATCTTGTGAAAACGAAGGGACGAGCGAATGGTTGGAATCTGCAAAAGTGTTCCATTAGTAGCAGTCAGTTATTTTTTCACACCATCGGTAACTGGTGGCGATTTGTCAATTCGAGTTCGTACCTGGCACCCATTTGGAGGACACCGTGTGACCAGACGACTTCTGGCCACCCTTGAAAGTTAGTTTTTCATAAAACACCCAATCCAATCCATGTGAACCACGTAATTGGGTTTCAGATGCGCTAAGCCCGTCCACTTGTGCATTCATACTCCGGTAAGCACAAAGATATCTGTGCTTTTAGCTCGCCGCAACAGGGCATTCAGGGTGTCATGAAACTCGTTTTTGATGGTGTCAAACCTCCAGTCAGTTGGGACTAAAGCAGACACGACAGACATCGATCAGCTTCCGGTTTGTGGGAATCCTTCACAGGCATTGACGACGTACCGCACAGAGGCGACTATAGGCGGCTATCCAATCAAACAAGGATCCTTCCGCCTGGTGACTTAGAAGGATACCAACCCGTACACATCCTGCCGCAAAATCCTTCGGATCTCCAGAGCTCTGCAACCGGAAGCGAGTATAGAGTAATAGGATGCTCAGCTCAACCATTGTGCTTGCATCGTACATTCTTGCTTCTGATACCCAGCACACATCAATGCCAGGCAAGTCCAGTATAAGCGCAAGAGCAGCTCATTGTCCTGCTTGCTTCAGGGTGCGGACGCTGAAGGCAGCCAGACAGACTGGGCATCGAGCTTTGAAAATCTACTTCGAGATGTCTGAGGATGTCGGTGCCGATGACACACAGATGTTGCTTGGAAAACAGACGCACTTCATCATTGTACATGGACTGGGATACTGCCAGGGCCCCCATATCCGGACAGGACGACAATGGTCCTCAACCAAGGCCTTTGGCTCAAAAATCTGACCACAAGGCAGCGGTATTTAGCGGAAAATTTAGGTACTTTTCAATTTTTACAGAACCAGTCACCATACATGCTCCGACTCCTAACCTGGGGGAACCGGAGTTTATTTTCGCCAGAATTCTAACTTTTAAGTAACCTGGTAAGAGAGACTGAGTGTTGCCTGGAAACCCCGCAGTATAGCTCATTGGGTTGCGGAGTTAGGCAAACCGTCATACTACGTTAAGGTCCAGACCCTTCTTGATGGTCATCTTTCAAAGTATGTTTTGTTTCTGACGCTTCCTGTTATCCAGTCTCTCCTGATGGAGACGTTCAGCTAGGTTTTCCTTTGATTTTGACTCCTGTGTATGAAAAGCGAGAGAACACATTCGCGCTCAGGATGCGCTTTTTTGATAGACGGATTATTGAGGTTTCACTTTTGGCATCGCTTCATTCTGATTCTCGCCGCTGTTTTCTTTCTGTTGGAAACCAGCCTGAAGAGCAATAGATATCTGTGGCGGACTGATAAAGCTCTATCAAATTCCCAAGTACGTACAAGGCGAGACCAATATTTGATAAACATAATGAGACGGAGATCGCGTTTGTTAATGGGATTGATGTGGAAACTGGTATGGTAGGATCAGCTCTTCATAATTGCCTATACCTCTTCGCATTCGCTAGTGTATCGTTCTTATTTCATAACTTCCAGCTTCTATTAGCAGTTAGCTGAGCTACTGTTAGGTTTGGTGCCGCAGCAGAGATTATCTTCGCTCGACTAGCAATTTTATTGAACCATGTTCATTATAAGTCTTTCTCGCTGTACTTATACATCCCCAATAAACCGAACGATTGTTTTTGATCGGGCGACCGTTCGTCACAACGTGCTAAGGCACTGGTCGTTGATGTACATTTCCTTAAACAGCAGTCGCCTATTGTTGATATCTCGTTTTTGTTTGCAGGCCTTCGATGGAATGAGGTCTAGAATTGAGGACGTAACCAAGCCAATTCGTTGTTCATGTTTTGCCACATCTATATGGGATGATACACTGTTCAATGCCTGGTCAAAGATTCTCTATGAACTTACGCCCAATGTAAAGGTTTTAGAGAGCGGCTTGACACAACTATGTGAACTACTCGAAGCTGACGAGGTGGTCTTATTCGAGCGCGCCACTTTTTTGCAGCTAGCTTGTCATTCCCGTCGACCACATCCAGATGAGCATCGCTTCGACAAGATCAGTAACATCATTAAGCAGTTTAAACTGTCATGTAGCAAGATTGGAGCGAATTTCACCAAGATCGAATTGCGTAATCAACACTTCACCGCGTTCATCGACGTCTTCACTTCGAGCACGTACATCATGGTTGTCTGCTCAGATCCTTCACTTGGCAAGTTGATCGTTCCTCTTTTTCCTTTGCTGTTCCTAGCTGCTTAATTTTCCATTGTATGGGGCATGCACTTCAGAGGCAATGTAGCCCTCTCTTGAGGACCTGTGTGCAAACTGAATATTTTATGACCGGTGTAGGATTGCTGAGATTCAGCAAACCAGATGTTCCCCCGAAAGGTGCTCAAAAATCACTGGTTCCTACGGTTTTCTTCGTAAGTGGAAATCCTACTGACCGTACCTGAAAGCCGTTTGTTGGTGAAACAACTCATTACCTAAATGAAGTATTTCTGGTCCGCACATCTGAAGATGTTCGCTTTGGATTAATGTTAGCGCAGACATGGCGTGTGGGGAACACACAAATGAGATCAGTGAAGTATTTTCATCTTATCCTTTGGTCGGGTCTCACTTCTGGTATGGATCCGTCTATCTGCGTTCTTATCTACTGACCAAGATTCGATATAATACACCGTCATCAGTAACTTGGCATTTCTTTGTACAGATCCTACAATAACTCTCATAAAAGCTGGCTCATACCACTATCCACATTATTCCCTAGAAAAAGATAATCTCACCAATTCTGACTACGAGATTTCCACGAATCATATCACCGAAATCTATATTCATCCAGAAGTAGTTTTTCAGCACCTCAGTATAAAGAACTTTAAATAAATGTGGAATGTGTATGACTTTATTGTGAAAGGGAGAGTATTTGGAATTATGGCGCTCTCATAATCTGTTAACAATCACTCGGAATAGAGAACCACACTCTTTGTAAAAATTAATTTATACGACGCCTTCGTACAGACGTCACGCTACGTAACTGAAATGCGTTCACATAACCTGTCACATGTATCAAAATGCTTATAAAACGGTAAATTTACCAGGGTACCTAGCTAAAAAATAGCTAGGGGTTCAAGGCTCAAGAAACAGCGTAGCATTGTAGCCAGAAGGTGAGGTTCCAAATGATAAGTTGCAAAATAAGATGCCATGAGCTTGATAGGTGTCTCATCCTCAGAGGGCAAAATGAGATTCTTCAGATCAGGTTATGACTCAAGTTGACGGCTAGATTGTTTGTGGAATAGCGTTTTGGCGGAAGGAGACTGGATTGCGTGCTACAGATCATCGTGACGTTCGCTTGTCGTTGGTGAACAAACCAATACCGTTTTGAAAGAGATTAGGATCCGAAGGAATAACCAAAGTTAGCATTATCGGTGTGCATGATGGCTATTAAGGGATTCTTTATCTACTGATAGAAAAATGATTTAGAGAGAATCGTTACATGAATAACTAGGAATGTGATTGTTTTGTTCGTTTGCAAGCTCCAGCTTTTCGGATGGCGAAGTGATCACCTGCAACATACCCTAAGCCTCTATCGACAGCGCCGTCTGAAGAAGTTACAGTACATCAAGACTTCCACATGTTTTAATTTAGTGCAAACGTAACGGTCATACTGTTCATCTTTTTCTGTCAAGTGCTGCATACAAGGGACACTAGAGCATCTAATGTCAAGCAGAATTTTCTATATGCGAATTGCAATTTGTACTCATACCTGTGATCAGTCTTCGAAGCAATCTCCTAAAAACACCTGTGATACAAAGGTTCAAGCGATCGATTTGTTATTAAGTAAACCTTTCTTTGGGAGTACTTTCGTGCATACTGATATCCAGCAGTTAATCTCCCTGAAACTGAACAGCTCATCCAGTGGGATTAAAAGTTCTTCAGTATATTCCTTCAGTACAATCCAAGGTGGATAGTCAAGATTGTTTATCTTAGTAGGCCTCGTTCTTCGTTTTAGTTTACGCACCTCAGCGGAATTAACGAAAGTGGTCTGAATCGGTAGCTAGAATGAGGTAACTTCTTCACATGGATATTAGAGCTCTCAAATAAGATTTTCCAATTCAGCGTTACGCATTGGTCAATTGAACCATGGTTGCTTTATTGTATTCTCCCTGAATATAAAGACGCTTGAAATGGTTGACTTACGGTTTCCTCGAATAGAGTGAGCCTTCTACCTTCCCTTTTGCCGTTTGAAAGCCTTTTAGATGGAGACGAAAATTGACTAACTCGGGCGTAGATGGCTTCAGTCGGGAAGCATATAACAGAACTAAACTTGGGATGGTCTGTTAGATGTCCACAGTAGGAGAGTGACTAGCATGGGGTAAATTGGAAGGGTGAGTAGAACTGGGTAGGTCTGTTATGCTGAAAAGTTTTCTGAATGTGCAGCTTCTCGTATGTATGATGAGACCCGATGGATTCACTTACAGTTGACTCAGATGCAAAACGAATATGCGGTGGTAAGAGGTGTTAACCAGAGACCCAATTCTTTCCAGAAACCGTGAAGTTCTGGATGGGTGTGTGGTGGAAATGGATAAAACTGTCGTATGCATCCCATTAAATACCCGAAGTAAACCTACTACTCACCCAGGTAATCCTGTCCGCTGTCTACTCGTGACTATTCGAATTGAAATAGAAAGGCGGAAACTGGTGTCGAACGCTATAATTAGGCCGACGGTCTGTTCGGCTCTAGTGGGCGTTGTGAGGGCATCAGCTAAACTGCTTGTCTCCGTCGGATGTGTGCTTCCAGCGTCTCAAAAAAGCGTCTTACGTGGTACTCGAACGTCGAACGGATGACCAATGGACTATATTCTCCATAGCACTAGGTTTCCTCCGTTACGTCTTGCGGATCATACACATGGCCTGAGACCCGGAATAATGTTGGATCAAGTCGTGCACTAGTTCCAGGGATTTTATGTTGCATTTAAATATCCCATACTCCGTCGAGCACGATAAATATCAAACTCCTATTCAGCGCTCAGCGATCGAGACATTTACAACGCACTTTTTCAGATTGTTTGCAGCTCGTCTGGCCGTATCAAAGTTTCCTACCCATTTGCTCATGTATTGACTACATCTTCACTGCACCATACACTGAAACACTTTTGAGTTCCAACAAGCTGTCATAACCTTTTTGGCCGAATTCCCACCGTCTTATGATATATTACGCTGTTTGATGAAATGCTGCCGAGGTTCGTCACTCTGAGGAAGATGGCTCAGTAGTTAGCGCGAATTTACTGACCGGAAGGTCCGTGTTTTGAACCCGACTCTACTTTTCCTATCTAGTCTTGGGTTAGACCAAAAGCTGCGTCGACCACATCTCGAAGGTCCGTGTTTTGAACCCGACTCTACTCTTCCTATCTAGTCTTGGGTTAAACCAAAAGCTGCGTCGACCACATCTTCACACTCCGTCAAGTGTTAGAGCAAAGTCACATGTACAGACGACCCCCAATCTTGGTATTCCCTGACTCCCAGGGTGCGTTCGATCCTCTCGATCAATCAGTGCTGTCAACCACACTTGCTCAACAGGGTGTGCCTCAGAAGTTTGTGAAGATACTCTGATCCCCCTATTCACATACTTCTGGACGTGTGAAAGTGTATGGTGAGTTTTCCATAAAGGAAACTATTCACAAGGTTGCTGAAAACTCTTCGACAGCCCACGACCGGTTTCGCCCTTCTTGGGGCTCATCAGGTAGGTGCAGTCCTCAAGTTTCCGTCAACCATATGATCTACTTGAACCCAAATTGCACTGTTTTCGAGAAATACACTCATTTGCAAATCAATTTAGTTTTCACGGGAGACTCAATCGAATCTTTCGTTTATGATGTCCTCCAGCTGAATGTGCTGCTCCGAAAGATTCCTTGCAAAAGGTGGTGTCCAACAAAGATGTCCACTCTCTCCGTTTTAGTTCAGTTTCTGCGTTGATGAAGTAATGAGCCAAACACTAGGTCTTCAAAACCATGGTGTTCAGACTGTTGCTGGTGAGAACCTTGTTGAGCTGGAGTACGCAGACGGAATCGCTCCCATATATGAAGACGAATGTGCAATTGAATCGACTGACCACTGTCATATATTTTGGCACGCGCCTAGCACCTTCAAAGTGCAAATTCATGCTTCAGAACTTGCAGTATCTAGGCATACCCTTTGCAGTTCAACGAAAATCACTGGAGGCTGTACAGAATTCTATACACCTCGGTAGTTGTACCGACTGTGACGACGATGTGTCTGATGAGGTCAGTCCAGAAACGAATCTGCCAATTTACGTCACTTATGGTGTCAAAAAAGCATATCGCTGGGTCTCAAGGGTCGTGTGTAGTGATCTGGATTTTGACCGCTGATGCCTCAGAAGTGTTGCTCGTGTCGGATGGCTTCAACGAATTTGTAGCGATTTAATTAGAAAACGGGCATTTCGTTGCGCAGCAAGTACTTCAGTCGCAGAAAACATCCAGCTCGATCAACTGTGGTGTCTCGACCATGTGCTACGCATGCCGAAACACCGTCCACCGAGACGGTTATTTTCTTTGCCTCCTTCAGAATGGCGCAAACCGTGAGGTGGACAACATATGACTTTTCTGAAGGGTGGAAAGAGATTACGAAGGGTTTGGATGCTGTTGGTTCATTAATCTTTCCAGGACGAGGTCCCCGTGACCCATCCTGCGCTTGGCTGGAGAAATTGCGAGAAATGGTGGCTGATCGGTATCAGAGGCGTTCAGGCTGTCAGTTTCTTTCCAGACTGTTCGACTGAGCGCTTAGAGATGTAGGCACCTGCGAACGCCTGTAAAACCCAGCATTAGGTCCTCTCTTTCATCCACTCTTCTTCTCATTCTTAGGCTTGAAATATGGTTAAATGATAGTCGTTGGCTTGTTCGCTGAGCTGGGCAATATGATTGCAAACCTTTCGTCACCAGTCGAGGTGACATCAGTTCGTTATTGGGGAGCATAGTGGTGCGTAGCGGTGGGGTAGTGGTTGTGCGTAGTTAGATGAGTAGTTAAATGAACTTTATATTTGTACGGCAGCGGTACATCAGCGTCAACATTGATATTACTGCCTCTGATCATAATATTGTTTTGGGATATGGATAACTCGGGTGTATTCATTCGTAGCTGATCAGGTGGCTATTCTGTTCGCTGAATTTGGCAATCGACTTGCCGACGCTCACCTGTCGAAGGGACATCATCAGTGCACTGTTGTGCGCTCGTATGGTTTGCAAAGAACATTTTAAAGCTATAACCCATCCCACGTGGAGTCTGAAAGGTCCCTTCGTAATCTGTGTTGTTTTGTGGTGCGTTTGGCTGCTCCACTACACACAACTCCTGTTGTCCAATATCTCCTGTTCTGGTTCGTTCCGTCCTTATTCGTACATCTCGGTAAAGTTCAGTCATACTCAAAAAATCAGTCTTTTTATGATATGGAAACAATGACAGCCACAATCTGTGCGGGGATCGCCACCTGCCAAATATGGTTGGCTACCATTCGGGACGGACCATTTATTCGCATGAGTCAGCCACAGCAAAGCAAATATCGTGCAAACGACCCGGATAACACTGGACATATGAGCTTGTACTAAACTACCGGCCTTTCACGCACGCGTTAGTCAATTACTGTGATAGAACGCTGGTGCTGCCGGTGTACTGTTGTCGATAATAATTATTGATCAGAAGGCTTTGGTTGTCACATATGCACCCTGACTTTTTTTAATTGGAAACAGCAAAACTGACTGCTGTGGATGTATCAGGACCCACTGTAGGCTTCCGCCACATCCACTTATACTGCATAAGGTTGTTCCCTTGTAACTCAAGATGACTTGTTCGTCAAGGTACGAATTTGTTTATTTAGAGTTCCGTGGTTTGAACCCAACTGCGGCATCTCGATTGTTCTTATTTAGGCCGGGGCAACCGGGCAATATCTCAACCCTCTGGAGGCACGAAAAGATCTCACAGATTGGCGACTGCTCCCTCTGTTTTTTATCTTAATTTCTCATCGGTATGCTCATGGGACAGGCATCACTGGGCTTTGTTTCCTGCGCCACCCAGATGTCTCCAGGTCGTTCACCCGTTACCCCGTGTAGACTTAACCAAATCACCCAGATACTTCACTTGCGTGGTCTTGCATGGACGCCATGACTATGGAATTTAGTGTCCTATCACGAAACCAATTGGAACCAAGCGTAGACGTAATGCTAGTCAACTGAGCACCAGTATTATCCACCGTCTATACTGGTAATCAGCTGGACGGTCAAATAATGGGGTCTTGGATCTCAAGCGACCTTTGACAGAAACGCACATGCACGCTACAACTCCATCTCACTCGCTGTTCCACTGACCAATGAATAAAGTAACAAACATAAGCTTAATCCATGTGTGATAACTTTTTGAAATGCACACTAGATGTAGATTTTGTTGGTAAATCTCAGTTTGACTGATCCATACTAGCAGTTTCTGGTGGCTTGCCTGTTAACCGTTAAATTTCCTTCTAATAATTCATACTCTTCATTTTCTCCTGCATTCCCCAACTATATTGCTTGTGTCTCCAGCGTCTTCCGCCACACTGCTCAACATTCGCAATGCCCGGAAGCATTTTGAACGTCTAGAAAAGTTGGAGCAACCCCATTCAGCTATTGCCCATCGTAGTTGACTTTTTTTCCACCCACTTCTGCTATCCAGATTATTTTCTAGTAGGTCTGTGATTCGCTTGTAAATATCTTCTAACTTGATTATGGGTCACTGTATTGTGATACGACTGCTTCACTAAACTGCTCTTCAGCTTTTCACCGTTTCTCTGATGACTACTTGTTGGTCTGTGTATATGTGAAGTATTCTTAGGGGAGAAATCAGTTTGAAGTTGTGCTTCCAATCGTAATGTGTGGTAAACCGTGGGTGTGGACACATTGCGTGAGGGTTCATATGATAGTGACAGCAACGTACAAGCAAGCACAGCCGTAAAGCAGTGATTTTCAATGTATATCACACTTTTTGAGTATTCCAAGAGAGGTTACTTTCATCCGAAATTTTTACTGTTGGAAACACCTTATTTCAAATAATACATCGCCTACGCATGAATGGTAGGTGTTTTACAAATGCAGCGTGGAAGGGGATTAAAAGCGTCGCAATTTTTTTATATTTGGGTCGTCGTTGGGGGGCTTGCGATATCCAACTGGTTGTCGGTACCGCACCTGGCCCATTCAAACTGCAAAAGCATAGAAATGCACTCGTTCGCGAATAAAACTGGTTTCAATCGCAGACTGAATGTGCTGCACAAATGTCGTCTCGTTTTCCAATTCGCACGCTATTCTGGGTATCGAAGTATGTTGTCTTGACGTGTCTTGCTACTTATAAGATTGGAGTTCGGCACCGTACCGGCTGTGCACGAATACGGCGGGACATATTGAATTCCTCTTCGAGTTTCGCCTCTTTGGCTCTGGATCTCTCGTACGGGCTACTCCTACCGGATTTACAATGGTAGCCATACGATAATTCTGGTCGATGAGGGGTTGAATTTGCCTGAAGGAGAATTGCCTCATCTTGCGCTCCAAGATTATCGAGGGTAGACATTACTTCTTTTTAGAACCCCTTTATTAATCCAGTAATCTGTATATAGCAGTCCACTCAAACAGCAACTTTGCCGTTTACAAAAATCCGCAAGATACTTTCAACATGCAAGACTACCAGCATGTGACGATTAATGTCTTGTGAGGATCATTTCCCTCATTGACTTTTTCAAGCATGCAAGACATGCACACTAAACCACGGGTGACCACACTTTTTACAACTGTTCAGGCAAAACTGCTGAGGGTTGATATGGTAAACTTTTCCATGGATGTTGATCCACGGGACGGAATCAAGTACGCAGGTTCACCAGTGTTGTTTGGCTAGGACTTAAGTGGACCAACGCTATGGCCNGCTCCAAGATTATCGAGGGTAGACATTACTTCTTTTTAGAACCCCTTTATTAATCCAGTAATCTGTATATAGCAGTCCACTCAAACAGCAACTTTGCCGTTTACAAAAATCCGCAAGATACTTTCAACATGCAAGACTACCAGCATGTGACGATTAATGTCTTGTGAGGATCATTTCCCTCATTGACTTTTTCAAGCATGCAAGACATGCACACTAAACCACGGGTGACCACACTTTTTACAACTGTTCAGGCAAAACTGCTGAGGGTTGATATGGTAAACTTTTCCATGGATGTTGATCCACGGGACGGAATCAAGTACGCAGGTTCACCAGTGTTGTTTGGCTAGGACTTAAGTGGACCAATCGCTATGGCCTGATCACAATTCCTGCTGAGGTTGCGAAAGGTCTGGGGCCTCATTTGGCTTTCAGTGGGAGACCGATCAACTTGGTGGTTCGAATATGACAGCATCTTTTTATTTAAGTGATTGCTTTCATCGCGGATCCTGTAACACGCCTTCGGGTCACCACTTGGCTGGGTTTATAAATATCATCTGGCTCACTCTTCTGGCACCTGTAACCCGTTTGTTTGAAAGAGGTTGTTCACATCTCGAACTGCCCGTCGGATAGCTCTGTGACCTGTGTCCGCTCCTGAATTTGCTTCAGTAGCTCAACAATGCGGTCCTTACTTTGTGTTCGTAATGAGTGGAAAGCGGGTATTTGGTTGTCAGTTGAGTTTGATCCTCTCAATCTACCTCAGTCAATGAATTGTGCCTCCATTGGTCATCCCCACTGACGCTTTCGTGCGACATCCAGGCAGCCACTGACGTCCAATAAGTCGGTTCGTCCTTTCCGGCGCGACCAGGTCCGTTTTCACCACTTTTAAACAGTTCTGGAATTCTCATCTGAACTGGCACGAGGGACCACCAAAACCATCCGTCGTTTCGTTCACTTTTTTATCGTGATTAGTTTGATTATATCCGAATAACCAAATGAAATGAGTTGGGGGGGCGTTTTCTTTCTAAACGCATTTTCCTGTCAAGAATTGAAACATTGGTTTTGATAGCACATACAAGGAAACATTGGTGCTACCGAAAGCTATGGCAATCATCGAGCGAAACAAATTAAGTTGGTTTTGACGGGAAACAACGGAATCTCAGTTGTATCTATCGCTTGTAGCAATCTTTAACTGACCGTACCGCCCAAGGGTTGTTTGATTTCTCAGTTGGGATGATATTCAGTATATCGAAATTATCCTTTGACTGCTAATAAGGTTGATGACAGTTTCTGGTGCAGATAGGATCATCTTGTCAAAGTGACCTTGTTGTAGTCCCGGTTGTCAGGTAGCTCTTCTTCAGGATCAGTTTAGTTTTTTCGGGTATCTTGCTGCGTTCCTGAGACTGTGCTTACTTAGTGGGTGGGAATAGTCTCTCAACTTGCACAGCTTTCATCTTTGAAAATATATTGCCTATCAAGTTACTAAACTGGACGTACCAAGGCCATTGTTAGTTTGGGCTTTGTTTCAGACCGCTGAAACACAGAATACTGTACAGCATTGAATTTTCTAACAAGGAACGACCACAACTGAAATATTCTGCTTTCGCTACAGTGATAGTCTGTTTAGTCACGTCATGGTCATCACGACGCCGTTGGATAAGAACATGTGCTCGCGTGACCGCAGCAATATGTGTGGTCCGCATATTTCTCGCTTACGCATCTACATTGCAATAACGTGGACAGGCAGCCAAAGTTCACCTTACGGGAAATTAGTCCCGGAATGGTGAATTGGACATAGTTAAACGGTACGCAAACCTGCGTGTGTTTCCTGTTTATTTCCCTAATCGACAATCTAGATTGCATGTGTGGGAATGTACACACGCCCTTTCATGTTGTGGAGTTATTGTACTGAACACTCGGGACCCACGGCTTTCATAAACGGCTCTCAATGCGTCCCCAGAATGTGTGGTCTTTCGTGAAGTGATAAGTTGGACCTGTGTATCCTGTGCCATAGGGTCAGTTTACCGTAGTCTCCATGGCCAGTTCGTGGTTGTATATGAAAGATGGAATCTTGAGGAATACTGTTTATTGCACCCACCTATGAAAACACATCCCTGTCAGATTTTACATGAAGGAAACATTCAAAGGAAAACTTTATAAATAGACACAACTTGAGTATTAGCCCGTAGGCCGAAGGTTTGGTCGGTAAAAGCCTACGGTTCTCTGCGTCAGAATACCCAATAAACACCTCGGACTTTTCGCCATTATTCGGCCTAGCCGTAATCTCATCTAGGAGACGTATGTTTGAGAGGTAATCTATTTCTATGAGTCTCGGGTCGGGTTGCATTGGGAAATGAATTTCAAGTCAGGTAAGTGACGATTTTGTCCCACATTACTTTCTCCAACGGTTTGAGAGTTACACAACTTAGGCTGATGGGACGTTAGTTTCATGCGATCGGCCTACCCCCGCCCTCAGATTTCCCCCTAACCGATGTGTTCATCCAGTCGTCCACCGTGGAAGCATTTCCCATCCAGAAGTTGAAAGGTCCCGCTGGCAGGTGTCGGAGACCATTATATGGCAGTCGGTTGCTTCTTTTACGTTTCCCCGATGTAGTTACCCTGTTCAACTTGTGATATTTTTTCACATAAGAATATTCAATTCGTAGCACGATCAATTGAGATAGCCTGATCCAACTACATCGCAAACCATGAAGTCCCGATCCTCAATTTTTGTTCGACACAAGATGTCTGATGGTGGTCCTGTTGTGGTCCCTAATCAGCTGAACTACATTCACATTGAATTGAATCTGATACGTGCCTTAATAAAGTACCCTCTGGAGAAATATCATCTTGCTATCATACCTCAAGAGTCTCAAGGTCCACAATAACCATAGGCGAACCTTTGGTAGAGTAAGCGTCCGTTGGTAGTTGGTTGACTAAAATTCCCTGGCGAATGAACCTTCCATTTGAGGCGTCCTCACTCGAAAAACTGCTCACTATGTAATGCGCGCTGCTGATGATTCTCAATAAAGATGAAACAGCGGTTCTCGGCTTTTCAGCATATATTGTCTACAACTACAGGGCACAAGCCCTATTAAGGGTGAGTATCTCGCAGATCTTGTACGAGGGTGAAATCCTCAGTGCTGGCACCATTCGGGCTTGGGTAAACACAGATAATAGAGATGATATCCGAAATCTTCCTCGTGATACACTTCAACATCTGGATTTCTGGCGAAAGCCGTGTACACCCAGCTTTCTGTTCACAGTATGGTGTAGCCAGTAAGATGGTCGCACCATGCACGCATCTCATAAGATACGTACGCTCTTGTTCAGCCATGTTTCACTGACAACCATCCCGATCTCCCTGTCTCCAACCTTCTTATTGCGAAGCTATAGTTCCTTAGGGAATTTCCAAATATGATGCTTTGAACCAGTGTTTCCTTTGATACTTCAATTCTCTTCGAACATGTGCAACCATGCAAACAACGGGGCTCTAGCGAATGAATGACCACGGCTAAAAATAAGTAACGCGAATGTATGCTAGATAAAATCAGCTCGTTACTCCCCCTGCACTTATTTATGTTTCAACCTTTCTTCCGCCTGTCGCATGCAGTTTTTCATAGATATTGATTCCCACTCGCCTCTAATCATACAGTTTGCGTACACATCTACATGTACGGTAGTGCGCCTGGCGTATCAGTATCCTCAGGTTGATGATTACACACCGCTGGTCGGTTGTTCATTTAACTTCCAAGTTAGCGTTTGCCGCCGGTTGTGAGAGAGTAAGACTTTACCACCTGTTACTTGCAATAGAAAACCTGTTCTGGCACACCAAGGCCAAGTTATAGTGAACAACTATGCGGATATGTTTCATCATATATTGGTTTAATATTTTCAGATCAGCATTACCCAGCTAGTTCACTATTTTCTTTTTCTTAGAACTCCTGTCATGGAACTAAACCCTGATGGGACTGAAAAAGTTGCTCTTAAGCATTTAGTGCTTCTGACCCTAGTGTTTGTTTTGCTCATTTGAAGACTTAGTTTAGACCAAGGTGCATTACTTCCCGGATATCAATATTCATGTATCCCCCATACAACACCGTGTAAACATTGCCGTCGAACTCCCTGCAACGCAAAACATCATTTGTCTCTACACGACTGTCTCAGCTGATATCTGCCTGTCTGGACTTGAATCGTGACTCCGCTGTCAGGGCAACTGCGTTTCCCGAAGGTAACAATAAGCTTGACGATTATATTCTGCACCCCATGAACACAGTGCTTACCGACTAACATTAGGTCGATGTGGTCCACCCACAAAGCGAGCATCCCTCTGAAAAACATTGGTAAGTACTGCAAGTGAAATCGAATAGTGCTTCACCTTCTCCGTGAACCAAGCAAAATCCGTCGACATCGCAGCATCAGTAGTCTCTGAAGGCTTCCGACCCGGTACAAATGGAACCATACCAGTTGGCATTCGTACATGTTAGTGCACAGCATTAATCGGTTTCGGGTCTCTAATGTATTGCCGACCTCAAGAACAAAAGGCTTTCTGATATTACAGTGAAGCGAATTCAGTCAAGTGCACCGTAGGTAGACCGACTTTGTCCACTCAGGTTGTCTTCTGTTGTATTCTTCCAATACACCCAGTTGGTCAAACC